GAAAAAAAAATTTTCCCTGCACCAGGGCTTGAACCTGGTACCTCAGGCATACCACGGGAGTGCTTTGCTCTGTCGGCCATTGCGACTGTTGGAGCGCCGCAAGCAAAAAGGCATACTAATGCTTTTCATAGGGGATGAATTGGCAGACTATCTCATCAACTGGTATGATGCTACTAGTATTTCTACTAGTAGATGCTGATGCATAGCCTGACAATTAACATCTCGTAGGACATCGCAATGTTAAAAATACCAAGCGCTAACATTGAAAAAGGATAGAACGTGAACTAGTTGGGCTGAAACGTATATGAGGCATTCTTTTTCATATCCGACGCAAAATTTGGTGCCCCACTTTCGTTTGGCTTAAATTTTGTATGGGTTCTATACATAAAATAAGATGTCGCCTATTCGAGGAATGTTTTTTTCTGTTTTTTTTTTTACCTCGCCTTTATTAGATAGAAGTAGCTATGTAATATTGATGCGACTAAAAGATGCAGCAATTTCCATTATCAAGTTACATACCTGATAATAGTACGAATGAAAATCGCAAAGGTTGATTTCGCGTTATATTAATTTTAAAATCAATTGAATTTAAGACTAAAAAGATGAAAATAAAATTATAGTTTAAAAAACTAAACACTCACTTTTATTACAACGTGAACTAAAGAGTAAAAAATAATTTATAGAAATACAGATTTCGTTTAAGTGGAATAGGAAGCTCCCTAACTTGATTTAATTAAACCTTTAAAACCAACCTAAAAAAAAGATTAAAGTAATTGACAATAAAATTAATTTTACCGGAAAACAAAGCGTGGGGTGCTTCTTAGATTTTATAGTCCTGCTATTAACAAAATATATATATATATTATTTTTTACTTTTTAGTTCACATTGTAATAAAAGTGAGTTTTTAGTTTTTAAACTATAATTTTATTCTTCGGAGATATGATCTGTGAATGTTTTTTCGTAATTCTGACCACTCATGCATTTTTTCATATCGTTATATTTTGGGTTCTTCTCATCGCATAGCCTTAATTTTAATTGAAAGCTCAAGCCTAATATTTATATGTGTAAGGTGCTCATAATTTCAATAGAGCTATCTTAGTTATAAATTCTGGGTAAAAGCCATATAAAAAGATGGGAACTATTTCTAAAATATATATTTTTTTATGACGAGATGTTTTATTTAGGGAGCTTTGGCACTTAACTTTACATTCGCACTTTTTAAGATGTTCAAAAACATCAATACCATTATCTTAGCTTAAGTAATTTTGAAGATATGTGCGATACACCAAAGGACTACTTTCGAAAACGGACTATACACATTTTGGAGCAGTGCCGGATATACATCTTAGTAACTTCTCTGGGCAAAAGGCTTTGAAATAAAACCGTTTTTAATTTCATTGAATTATGTCGAACTTTCAAGATATACTTTAGTTTACACGGAACATAAAATTTTACAATAATTTACACTGAGAAAAAAAATTAACCATATCGTCTTTGTTTTAAACAAAAACACATATGATTTTGCGCCAAACAAGCTTTTGTTTACTATGAACAGATTTATTTTTGGAGATTTTTTTCGTTTGAACACGATTTCGTTGTGCACTTCACAGATACTTTTTCATAATTAAGAAAATTAGAAAATAAAAATTTTAAATTACTAGTGTTCGCACAGCCGTTGAAATTCAACCTTTAAAATTAGAGAGAATTGGAGTGTGCTAAGCCGAGCGGAGTTGAGTTTAGTTGAGTTAATTGAATGCGTTGACAAACATAGCAGAATAGAACATAACATAACATAACATAACATAACATAACATAACACAACACAACACAACACAACACAACACAACACAACAC